GTCCCCCAGCAGCAACCGTTTCCCGGCTGGACCGCTGGGAATGCAGCCTCTGCGGCCCACCTCTCCGGTCCCTCCCCTGCGTCGTCCACAGGTGGTAGTGTGACCCCCTTTCCCTCCTCTGGCTTTGTTGGTCTGCTTAGTCAGCCTCCCTCTGTTGCATCCCCTATGTATGCCCCTGCTACTAATGAAACTTCCTTTCAGTACTCCGCCTCACCCTCCTCCACCCTTGAGTTCGTCCTGGATAGTGGAGCCACTGACAATGTCTTTCGCGATGCTGGCAAACTCCATCCTCTCCCCACACCCACGTCCCTCCTCGGCGCTGACAGCAGCTTTTCCATCCCCTGTCACAACACGTCCACCCTTCCCTGTCCTCTCTTTCCCTCAGGTACCGTCACAGGTCTTCACATTCCCTCCCTTCGCACTAACCTCCTTTCCCAAAGGTCCCTCCAACAATCCATGATCACCACTGTCACCCCAGGAGGTGCTAACCATTGTGACCTTTTCCAAACCTCCACAGGTCGCTTCCTCGCCCGCATTCCCTACTGTCACCGCTCCCGTCTATACACCCTTCGGGTTCCTCGCCCCTTCACCTTCCAAGTTGCCTCCCCCCCCCTCCTCCCCCCCCCCTCCTCCCCTCCCTCCCACTAACCCACCCGTCCCCCCCCGCCCCCCTGACTCTGACTGCTCATGTCGCTCCCTCTCCCACCCTGCTATCCTCCTCCATCACAGGCTAGGTCACCCCAACTTCGCCACTCTGCGCTCGTCTGCATCCTCCGGTCTCCTCCACGGTCTCCCCTCCTCCCTCCCTCCCCTCCCAAAGTCCCCTGCCCCCCCTTGCGTCGTCTGTGTTCAGAGCAAGCTCAAGCAGCAGCCGCACTGGAGCTCCCCCTCCGCTGCAGCCCAGCCACTTGATCTTGTTCACATGGACCTCTGGGGCCCTAACCCCTCCCCCACTCGCCAAGGCCATCGCTACCTCCTCGTGCTCGTCGATGATCACAGTCGGTACTCGTCCGTCTCTCTCCTTCGGACGAAGGCGGACGCCCCGACTGCGATCATTGCCTGGCTCGAACAGGCAAACACCCACTTTGGGCGCCCTGTTCGCCGCCTCCACTCTGATGGTGGTGGTGAGTTCCTTAACAACCAGATCTCCTCCTATTGCCAGTCCCGCGGCATTCTTCAGACTTACACCCTCCCTCACTCCCCACAGCAGAACGGTGTCGCTGAGAGCCGTGTTCGGGAGATCACCAAAACGGCTCGGTGTCTCCTTGTCCACGCCTCCTGCCCCCCTTCTCTGTGGGGCTACGCCCTCCTTCATGCCGCCCTCCTTACTAACCTTTACCCTCACCCCCTCCTCCCCTCCACCACCCCCACTGAGCTATGGACAAAAGACAAACCCGATGTCTCCCCTCTTCGGGTCTGGGGCTCAAAGGCATATGTCCTCATTCACCCATCTGACCGATCCCGTTCCCTAGGAAAACTTGCCCCTCGTACCCTTCCCTGCATCTTCCTTGGTCATAACCCCTCTTCCCCCGACTATCTTTTCCTCCACCCCCCCCTCCGGTCGACTAATTCGCACCAGGGATGTCGTCTTTGACGAATCCACCCCATACTATTCCTCTCCTCCGTCCACTGACCCACTCCCACCTCTGACTCGTCCCCTTGTCTGGTCTGACACCACCCCTCCCCCTCTCCTCCCTCCTCCCCCCATCCTCCCACCCCCTCCCCCACCGCCCCCCCAGTCCCACGGTGCCCCTCCCTCGTCTGGTGACATCTTTGACCCGGACCCCCTGTCTTCCCCTGTCTCCCCCGCTCACTCCTCCCCTGGTGCCCCTCCTCCCCCTCCCTCCCAACCCTCGCCTCCCTCCCCCCCTCCCCGCACCACACTCACCCGGTATCCTCACACCAGTTCGTGCGACGGTATTCTTGGTGCACCGCCCCCTGTTACCCTCTCTACCTCTACCCTCCCCCCTCTTTCCCCCCTTCTTCACCACTTCTTCCAGGCTGTCCTGCATCAAGCCCCTCATGCACCCGCCCCCTCTACTACCTCTCCAGCAGCGGCAGCGGCAGCAGCTCCAGCAGCAGCCACCGCAGCGGCACCAGCAGCGGCAAGTGCAACGGCACCAGCAGCGGCGAGTGCAGCGGCAGCGGCGGCCTCGGCAGCGGCACCAGCAGCGGCGGCACCAGCAGCGGCATCAACAGCGGCATCAACAGTGGCACCAGCAGCAGCACCTGCGGTCATCCGCGCCTTCCACACCTCCCTCTCTGAGGACTCCCATGAGGAGTTCCTTGACCTCCACCTCTCTGACCCCTCCCTCCTTCCCATCACCTCTGACCTCTCTGGAACACCAGTCTTCGCCTTTTCCTCCGCACCCTCCACCTTCATCCCAACCACGTATGAGGAGGCCATGGCTTGTCCCGACGCCCCGCTCTGGCTCGCCGCCATCATCAAGGAGCTCGAGGCGTTTATTGCCAACTCCTCCTTCGTTGATGTGCCTCGCCCTCCCCCCTCTACGAACGTGGTCAAGGGGAAGTGGGTGTTTCGCGTCAAGCAGCTGCCAGGAGAACCGCCCGTCTACAAGGCCCGGTATTGCGCCAAGGGCTTCACGCAGCGGTATGGCTTTGACTTCTTCGACACCTTCTCCCCCACCGCCAAACCTGCTACCGTTCGCGCCGTCCTCGACCTCGCCGCTCGCCTCAACATGGAGATCCACTCGATGGATGTCTCCAACGCCTTCCTGCAAGGCGTACTACGTGAACTGATCTACATGGAGCGCCCCGCGGGCTTCCACCTCCCCTTCCCCGCTGACTCTGTCTGGCAGCTGCGCCGCCCGGTGTATGGGCTCCGCCAGGCTCCCAGGGAATGGCATGCCAAGCTTGCTGCCACCCTTATCGAGCTTGGGTTTCGCACCTCCCGCTCCGACGCCAGCCTCTTCCTCCGCACCTCCCCCTCCCCCTTCTACATCCTCGTCTATGTTGACGATATGATTCTTCTCACTGCCGATCCTGCCGAGCTCGAGACTGTCAAGACGGAGCTGGGCAGCCGTCTCAAGTGCAAAGACCTGGGAGAGCTGCAGCACTACCTCGGCATGACCATCACTCGCGACCGCTCCGCCCGCACCATCTCTCTCTCTCAGGGCCACTACCTCCAGCAGGTCTTAGAACGGTTTGCAATGGCGCGCGGTAACCCCCAGCCCACTCCCCTTTCGGTCGGGCACCACCTCTCCCCACCCTCCTCTCCCTCTCCCTCCTCCCCTCCTTATCCTGAACTCATCGGCTCTCTCATGTACGCCATGGTCTCTACTCGCCCTAACCTTGCCTACCCCATCAGCGTCCTCGCTCGCTTCGTTGGCGCTGGCAAGCATACGGAGGAGCACTGGCAGGCCGCCAAGCGCGTTCTTCGCTAAATTCGTGGCACCAAGGACTATGTCCTTACCCTTGGCGGCCCTTCCCCACCCCTCCTCAACGGCTACAGCGACTCTTCCTGGGCTGACTCTCGACCGGATCGGCGGTCCTCTCAGGGTTATGGCTTCTCTCTGGGCAGCGGCCTCATCAGCTGGCGGTCCACACGCTCCTCTGCCGTCGCCCTCTCCTCCTGCGAGGCAGAGCTCTACGCTGCAACCATGGCCGCGCAGGAGGCGCGCTGGCTCACCTTCCTCCTTGATGAGCTTGGAGCCCCCCAACGCTCTCCCACCATCTGGTGTGACAACGCTAGCACCATCCACCTCACCAAGGATGATGTGTATCATGGGCGCTCCAAACACATTGAGCTCCGCTACTTTTTCATTCGTGAACTCGTTGAGGCCGGCCATCTTCGCCTTGGCAAAATCGACTCGGCGGCCAACCTCGCTGACATCTTCACCAAAGCCCTTCCCCAAGCGTCCCACTCCTTCCTTCTGCGCCTCCTTGGCCTCACCCCTCCTCCGGTTTTGGCGGCCTCCTGATTCCATTTTCTAGCCTTATGCCTGTTGGGGGGTTGTGTTGTAACTGTATCTTATATACAACATACATAGGCTAGAATGGTGTAGCTCTTTATGTTCTTGGGGGGTTGGGTGTACACTCCAACCACATTTTGTGGTTGGTCAAGGTTGGGTTTGGTCTTGGTCCTTGGTTGGCACTTGCCAACTTTTGGTCCTAAGGCCTACCAATCACAACCTAGCAACATTGTGGGGTTACCTACTCCACAAGGCATCTCCCCCATTGGCCAACTTAGTGGCCAATAGGGTTTGCTCCTTCTTCACCCCTCTCTTGCTTGCATGCTTGTACTATAGAGCCTCAATGGCTCATCATTCAACTACTCTTGAATTCTATCATACTGGCCTACTGGCCTACTGGCCTACTGGCCCACTGGCCTACTGGCCTACTGGCCTACTGGCCTACTCGCCTACTGGCCTACTCGCCTACTCGCCTACTCGCCTACTCGCCTACTCGCCTACTCGCCTACTGGCCTACTGGCCTTCAAGTCCGCTATTCACTTGTCCCTTCTTTCTCTTCCCCCCCACAGACCTCCTGCGTTCCCCATGCTACCTGGCTCAGGACGAACTCGTGCGGCTCTTCTACTCCCTAGCTGGTGGCACACTCTGCTTTCCCCCTCTCTTCCCCACGCACATGCCCCTTGCCTTTCAGCACATGATGCTTTCCCCCTTCCCGTCCCCCCTTTCTTCCCCCCTCTATTTTCCCATCACCAGACCTCCTTTTGAGGCGCCTCAAAAGTGCTTTCCCCCTTCCCGTCCCCCCCCTTTCTTTCCCCCTCTATTTTCACATCACCAGACCTCCTTTTGAGGCGCCTCAAAAGTGCTTTCCCCCTTCCCGTCCCCCCCTTTCTTTCCCTCTTTATTTTCCCATCACCAGGCCTCCTCGGTCCCCCCTGCTACCTGTCTCGGGACGTGCTCGTTCGGCTCTTCTACTCCCTCGCGAACGGCACCACGCCCCTCACCCCCTCTCTTCCCCTCTCTCTTTCCCTCTCTCTTCCCCTCTCTCTTTCCCTTTTCTTTAACCCCCAGACCTCCTCGGTTCCCCCTGCTACTTGGCTCGGGACGTGCTCGTTCGTCTCTTCTACTCCCTCGCGGACGGCACCACGCCCTTCCTTATAAGCACATTCGCTATAGCAGCCAATGCAGTCCTGGATTTCCTATTCGTGAGCCGCTGGAAGTTTGGACCCCAGGGGCTGGTGCTCGCTACAGCCGCTGTGAACAGTGCTTCGGCTGTAGCGCTGCTGTGTCTGGCGCACAGGAGAATGGGAGGTTAGTGGACGGTTGGTTGGCTGTGCTCTATGTTTCCCTTCAGGACTTGTGCTGTGCTCGCTACAGCCGCTGTGAACAGTGCTCCGGCTGTAGCGCTGCTGTGGCTGCCGCCCAGGAGAATGGGAGGTGAATGAATCTCTGACTGCTCTGAGTTTTCTACGTCAGCTCATGCTGGCTTAGAGCCTTCTCTCTCTCATCCTCTTACCATCAGCTGCTGCCACTGCTGCCATTGCCACTGTCACTGCCACACACTCACCTGCTTCTGTCCCTCCTCACACCTCTCCCTCCACTCCCCTCCCTCTGCAGGCCTCCCTCTCTCGCTCTGGTGGCCCTCTTTCTCCATCCTCTTCCAATCAGCCGCTGCCACGGCTATCACAGTCACAGTCATGCATAAGCTCCTCTCTGCCGCACTTACAACCGCCTCTCACTTGCTCTCCTTGCAACCCACATGGGTGTGGTTGCTAGATGCGGCAGCACTTGGAACGACAGCTGCTGCAGGATTCCTTGTCTTCTGCGCCCTTGTGGTTACCATGCGGTTACCCGAGGCCATGCCGTTATGGGCTCGAGTGAAGTCGCTTTTGCAAAAGCATGGGTTGCTGAAGCTGAGAACTAGTGCTCAATTTTGATTTGTGTGGAATTGTGTGTAACGCTAGATTGATGAGTACCTAGTGACGAATGTGCTTCTTACACAATTTTCCCTAATGGGTTTTTTTTTTTTTTTTTTTTCAGTGGTTGAACTGACAACCATGTCATGTTATGGCAGACTTTGTCCAAGTTCAATTCAAACTCCAGACTCTTGTCCCCCCATGCACCAGTTTACAAAATCTGCTGAAATCTCTTAGCAGAGCTTACAACGAAACGAATAGCTTCTTGTAATGATACGTGGATGTTTTCGAGATTCTTCCTATCGTCCTTCCCATCAAATCGATTACAATTGCTGAATCCGAACCATCACGCGCAAAGGTCCTTTTCAGCATCGCGGCTCGGAGAAGAAAAGGACTTCGCTACTCGTCGACTTCCCTCAATGCACAACCAGGCGCAAACGTTTGAGCACACGCAAATCACTCGCGACGTGGTGAAGGAAGAGATGAAAATTGCCGCCCACAGCATTCTTCCCCCCTCAAGTCGCTTTCGTCTCCGCTCAACCCTCAGTCGAGAGTCTCACGATCGCAACAATCACATGGCTATCGGAGAGAGATCTCGCCTCGACTCAGGCCCCCACGTTTCAGCAACAGCACCGCCATTACAAAAACCGCCGTGACTCTTACACTTCTAGGCCGAACCAGCCCACAGGTGGCTGACCTACAGAACAGCCCTGCTACACTCACACCTACATCCTTGAATGGTCGTCTAAAACAAAGAGGAGAGACCTGCTGCTAACAGACATACCTTCCAGCAGCACTATTTCAGGCCCAACGGCACATTCAACGGAAAACGACGCCGGCCGCCATTCGTCGTTACTGTAATTAGGTCTCTTTGTACGGACCCTCTCTCCTCTCCTGCTAATGGCAGATCCAGCTGGCAGATCTGTTTTGCGGGATCCTCACGCGCAAAGAGACTCTCTGTCCTTTCCGTCCTCATCCGAAGAGACGAGTTAATGATTACCTACAGCCCTGCCTCGCGAAGTTTTAGTACGCGCACCGAAACGCCTATTCTCTCCCTCAACGGAGGTTTTTTGCAGCAAGACCACACGCCACGCTAACGCAGTCACGTGTAGTACAATGCGCGGGACGACGTTCCTCCATAAGTGCGGGATGACGCGAACCATTTCTCATTCGCCTTGTTTAACCAACCAGTTCTCGCTCTACTAGCGTCATCACCGTCGCCGTCACGTGTGGCGTCACGTCTTGAGGCGCTGCGTAACCATAAGTACTATCAGCAACGTCGTCACGACTTAAAAGCTTACGATAGCTTTACTGTACTCTTTGGGGCCTTCGTGAGTCGTCAACGCGCCGCGCGCCATCATGGTGACCGACGCCGATCCCGCCATCGTCGTACTTCCGGACGGCACCATCCGCCTAATCACGCCGCATCTCGCGGCGGCAACGGAAGATTTGCCGCCGCCGCCGCCGCCGCCGGCCGAGTACCAACCCTGTTCGATGGAAGGCGGCACGCCCGCCAGGGGAAGGAGCGACGGGCTCAGGCTGAGCCCCCCGCCAACTCCGCGTGCGGAAACACGGTGCGGGGAGCCGGCGGAAGCGGACTATGAAGACGCGCGCGCGCATACCCACTGGGCGCAAACCTACCCCCGCTGCGCGTCGCTGCAGTCTCCGCGGACTCCCGGTATCTTGACCGCGGGCGACGTTCTCCGCGATTTCCCCCGCCATTACCTCGCGCTCTCCCCCGCCGCCCCTCCGCCGGGGAGTCCCCTCAGGCGCGGAGTCTCCGCAGACATCTCCCCGGACGAACACATTCCGCTTCCCGCCTGGCGCCCGCTGATTCCCGGCGCGACCTATCAGGTCGTTCCGCAGACGTTGCGCCAAGCGGGGCAAGGCTGCTCGTCGCGCTCGCTGCTGCGCACATTCGCGTCGTGCCCCGAAAGATTTGACTCCGCGACTCACGGCGACGGGAACGGCAGAGGGGTCGTTTCCGTCGCCGAAAAGAAGCCCGTTCCGCACGCGCTGCGCAAAGGGACAGTCTCGTCGCGCTCGCTGCTGCGCATGTTCGCGTCGTGCCCCGAAAGATTTGACTCCGCGATCCTCGGCGACGAGGGCAGCAGAGTGGCCGTTCTCGTCGCCGAAAATAAGCCAGTTTCTAGGAGAGCGTTAAGTACCACTATCGGCACTGCGTCATCAGCGGTATGCCCGACATCCAGCGGTGGTTTCGGCGACGGCCGCGCTGAATCCCCCGGAAATAATACCTACTCCCAGAGCTGTACGCGATACAAGCTCCATCACGGAAATCGTCCTCGCAACTGGTCGCAAGGGAACACGATAAGCCGTTCCGTTAGCTATTCCGGTCCGCACGCGACGGACGTGACGCCAATCTCCTACACAACGTGTGAATCGCCTTCGGGATTACGGGAGAGAGGAACCCCAGTAGTACCAGCAGCCGTTGGCGTGAACAACGGAGTCGGTTCGCGCGCCACGGGCGATGCACCATCCCCGTTATTATTGGCATCGTCATCATTGACATATCCGCCCTCTACATCTGCTAGCTCGAGCTCTAGAAGGCTTCTGCGGAAAGTGAATCTTTTTGCTTTATGCAAGTGGTTTTACAGAAGCAGCTGCAGCGGCAACGACGGCAGTGGCGACTGTTGTGAAGTCAGGGAAAACAACGTTCTCAAGTGGGATGAGGGCTCAAATGCTCTAAATATTCCTTTTGAGTCGGCTATAAACGGGTACAGCTTTAGCAACGTCATCAGCAACAGCAAGACCGCCCACACCGTCAGCAGATGCAGCACAGGCAGCAGCTTCGACAACAACACGCCCAGAAGCGCCAGCTGTAGCGCCAGCAGCACCGCGAATGGGGATCAGGTTGGGAATACCAGAAGGAATATGAGAAGAAACACACACCCGCAGCCTGACTCCGGCATAATGAGATCTTCGAACCTTGTCATGGAGGACCCGTTTTCTCCTATGGAGCTTTGCTTTACCGCGGATGCTTGTATGGAGGACATGCGCCGTGCAGCATCAATGCTAGAGCTCGCTCTACAGAGGAATGAAGAGCATAGAGTGTAGACAGGCTCTGCTTATCTTCAATCGGGTTTCTTCTGCAAGGGAATGTAGTAGAGTGCTATGGTCCTCAATGCTGGAGCTGCTAAAGACTCCCCAACCCCGAGTTTCATTTTTATGCCACCCTTATAAATCAGCAGTGCTGAATGTACCTTCTTTCTGCCACTAGTATCTTGTGGCATGTAACTAATGCAATTATGCAATATGAATTGATCTGGAATGCTGTGTTCCATCTCACAGCTTGCAGGAGAACAGGGGCGGGATGTGAGGAGTTATCAGAGGAATAATAGAACACTAAGAAGTCAGAGGCCTCTACACCAGCACATGCCTGTTATGCTTGACATCTGAAGTCTTGTATTGTAGAGAACTGCCTGCATTCGAATCGACTAAAAACAAAGCACATGCCTGCACTGCTGTAGCAGTAGCCTATCACATCACCCCAAGAGTAGTACAGCCAGAGTAGGTAGTAGGTACCATGCTCATTGTAAGTGATAACGACTTATCTACACCACACCACACTGTAGCTCACAGCCTATGATTGGCCTATTGACTTGGAAGTTGCCTTTCCACGACAAAGATGTTTCCCTTGTCGTCTCGCCCGATTCGCACAGTGTCGTCCACGTAGCTGTGTGACAATAAAGGGGGTTGCGCACAGAGCAATAGAGAGCAATGCACGAAATGCATTAAAATGATGTGCAATGGTGAGGCGTCCCTGGCCAGTTCTGAGTGGACCCAAAACCCGTCCATGATCACATGTACATATAGCACATGCAGGTGTGGAGCAGACTATTCGACATGTTCCAGGGAGCAGCAGTACAGAAAGTTTAGCAAAGGGGGAAACAGTTGTAGTAGAATTATAATCACGTGTACATGTAGCACATACACGTGTGGAGAAAAAAAAGGAAAGAAAAAAAAAAAATCGTGCAACCACTCCAATTTAACCAACCAGCACAGGTGTATCAAAGTTCTTATACTCTCACACGTCAAGCATGTGTATGTGTATGCATGTGTGTGTGTATGCATGTGAGTGAAATTTGAGAATTCTCAAAAATCGCTCACAAGGTCTACAACTCCCAAGATTCGTAATTGGTTGGAGATTACCACAAAGGTGTATCAAGGTTCTTATACTCTCATATGTCAAGCATATGTACGTGTATGCATGTGTATGTGTATGCATGTGTATGTGTATGCATGTGCAAATGCATACACCCTCCGCTAAATTATCAAGTACACAAACGCTATATGTAACCACCAGAGGCACTCACGTTGTCTCGAGCCATCCATCCGGGTTGAAGCACTCACTCACGTTATCTCTAGAGCAGATCGTAGGTCTTTCCAAACGAATTTGAATCATCAAGTGCACAGACGCCACTTGCAACCACCAGAAGCACTCACGTTATCTCGAGCCATCCATCCGGGTTGAATATCCTCAAGAGCAAATCGTAGTTCTTCTCAAACAGCTTGTTCAGCTGTCAAACGGTGTGGTGGGGGGGGGGGGGGGAGGAGAGGGCGGGGAAGAGAGAGGGGAAGGAGTTACTTGTGGGGCAACTAAACAGCCATCCATCCGGGTTGAATCTCCGCAGCAGCAGGTCATAGGTCTTCTCAAACAGCTTGTTCAGCTGTCGCATGGATAGGGGCGTGGGAGAGCGGTATAGGGGAATACTTTCTTTCAGTCAACAAGAATCTCCGCAGCAGCAGGTCATATTTCTTCTCAAACAGCTTGTTCAGCTGTCAAAACGGTGTTGGAGGGGGGAACAGCGGGGTGGGGGAGAGGGGGAAGGGGGGGGGTGGGGGGGGGGTTGGGGAAAGAGGGCGGGAGTAGGGGAAGAGGAGAAGAAAGCATCAAAACCATTTCATAGTTCTTCTCGAACAGCTTGTTCAGCTGTCAAAACGGGGTGGGGGGAGAGCGAGGGGGGGGTGGGGGATAAGAATTTCTTCCAGTGGCGATTCTTCTAGTCAACTTGAATATCCGCAGATTCGCGGAAGCAGGTCGTAGGTCTTCTCAAACAGCTTGTTCAGCTGTGAAAGGGTGTGGGGAGAGGGGGAAAGGGGTGGGGAAGGGAGCGGGAAAGGGATTACATGTGCGGCAACTAAATCATCCGCAGAAGCAGGTCGTAGTTCTTCTCAAACAGCTTGTTCAGCTGTGAAAACGGTGTGGGGGAAGGGTGGGGGGGGGGGGGAGGGGGGGGGTGTTTTTGGGGAAAGAGGGGGCGGGGGAAGAGGAGAAGAAAGCATCAGAAGCAGGTCATAGTTCTTCTCAAACAGCTTGCTTAGCTGTGAAAGGGCGTGTGTAGGGGACAAAAAAGGTGGAGGGGGAGACAGGGGGTTGGGGGGGTAGTTGAAGGGGGGAGAGAGAAGGGGGTCAATAGGGGAGTGCTTTTTAGTAAACGAAGAAACCAGCAGAAGCAGATCATAGTTCTTCTCAAACAGCTTGCCCATATTGAGAATTCTCAAAAATACTTTCCATAATGAGAATTTTCAAAAGCAATCTCCACATTGAGTATTCTCAAAAGGATTCTCAAAGGAAAAGGCTGGCAGTGAGGAGGACGGGAGGTGTACAGATCCTACCTGCAAGTACACCCCACCTGGGAAATTACCCCACCTGGGAAATTACCCCACCTGGGAAATAACCCCACCTGGGAAATTACCCCACCTGGGAAATTACCCCACCTGGAAAATTACCCCACCTGGGAAATTACCCCACCTGGAAAATTACCCCACCTGGAAATTACCCCACCTGGGGCAAGCTGATTTTCGAGTCAACAAAAAAAACCTTACCAAGAAACCCACCTGGTCTGGTACGATGCTGGAGCTCTCAAATTTGATGTCCACCCGCTGCAACGGAGAAAGGAGAGAAAAGGGGTACTCAGGGGGGGCAGGGTTTTGCGAAGGGTGAGATGGGCAGATGACAGGAGGGAGGGAGCTCTTGAAGATGATGTCAACACGATGAAGGAGAGAGCAGAAAGCAGAAAGCAGAGAGGAAAAGTAGAGAGCAGAGAGGAGAGAGGAGAGAGGAGAGAAGAGAGAAGAGAGAAGAGCAGAACTGGATAGAGCAAGGAGCACAGAGCACAGAGGAAGTTAGAGCTGAGGTTCACAGGGCACGGTTTTTGAGTCGACTCAAAAACCGACTCATCACACGAGGAAGTTGAGCTGAGGTTTACAGGGCAAGGTTTGCAGGAGGCGTAAGGCACAATGCATGTGGCAAAAGACACACCGCTTATGCTGCATTGCGCTCGCTCGCAGTGGGAGAGGAAACAGTGTAGGTAGCTTCGCGGAATCAGTGCTGAGAAAGGCTGGCTTCGATTCGAATCGCAGCAAGCCTGCTAAGAGTATTAACCGACCTTGGAACGCAGTGGGAGAGAAAACAGTGTAGGTAGCTTCGATGGTGAGCTGAGGGCAAAGACGTATGGCGCTTACGTCTGGCATGTGGCGCTTACGTCTGGCATGTGGCGCTTACGTCTGGCATGTGGCGCTTACGTCTGGCATGTGGCACTTACGTCTGGCATGTGGCACTTACGTCTGGCATGTGGCGCTTACGTCTGGCATGTGGCGCTTACGTCTGGCATGTGGCGCTTACGTCTGGCATGTGGCGCTTTCGTCTGGCATGTGGCACTTACGTCTGGCATGTGGCACTTACGTCTGGCATGTGGCACTTACGTCTGGCATGTGGCACTTACGTCTGGCATGTGGCGCTTACAGTGGGAGAGGCAACCGTGTAAGTGGCTTCGATGGTGAGTTTCCCTGACAGCAGCCCCAACCCCCTCACTGAAAATTCCACCACGTTGGCTGCTCGCCTCTGTAGGTAATTGGCGCACGGGGGGAGAGGAGAGGGGTAGACGGAGTACGTGGCTTCGATGGTGAGATGCCCTGACAGCAGCCCCGGGGTTTTGATCTCTTTCTTACTTGCTAAACGCCTTCTCTAGCCCTGCTGCTCTTCCAAAACCGTGAGTGACGACGATGCATGGGGGGAGAGGAGAGGGGAAGACGAAGCACATGGCTTCAATGGTGAGTTTCCCTGACAGCAGCCCCAGGCCCCTCACTGCGAACTCCACCATGTTGGCTGCTCGCCTCTCGAGGGGTGAGACAAGGGGGGTTGACGGGCGCAGGGGGGGCTGTATAAGAAGCTTCCTTGAGCACAGTGTGACCGTCACTGAAAACGACGTTTTAGGCGCCTCAACAGCACAGTGTGACCGTCACTGAAAACGACGTTTTAGGCGCCTCAACAGCACAGTGTGACCGTCACTGGTAACGAATCATGGCTGGCAATCGCGCCGCATCCGTGCCGCATTCTAAACAGCCACGTGAAATGAGAGTGGTTTCGAGACGTCTCAAAAGCACTCTCATTTCACGCCGCAACCGTGCCTGCATCTTAGAAGAAGCCTCCCAAAATGACTGGTTTTGAAATCCGACAGCTTTTGAGTCATCTCAAAACCCTAAACCCATTTTTCACATGGAGACCCACCCCCCCCCCCCCCCCCCCCCCCCCCCCCCCCAGGATAGAACTCCCTCAGGGATTTGTCAACTTACCGTGTCTTTGTTAACAATCTCAAGAAGTTCCCCTCAGGGGAGAAATGGAGTCCCTGAGACCTTTTGAGAATTTTCAAAAGTTCAACCAAGTTGGTCTATCTCCCTCTTAAGCCAGATCGTACCGTATCCTTGTCCACAATCTGAAGGAAGTCACCCAAAGAAATGAAATCTCTGAGGCCCAGCTTGGTGCGCTTTGAGCCAAGAATGGCGATGGTGCTGTAGAGCAGCCGCCACTCTCCCGTGATCTGAATGTTGGAGGGGAGGGGGAGGGCAGAAAGGTCGGAGGTGGGGACAGTAAAGGAGAGGTAAGACAGTTTCTGAGGCCCAGCTTGGTGCGCTTGCAGCCGAGGATGGCGATGGTGCTGTAGAGCAGCCGCCACTCTCCCATGATCTGCATGTTGGGGAGAGGTGGGGGGGGAAGAAAGGGTGGGAGCGAGGGCAGGGAAGGGAGAAGTGGGACGATTGTCTCTCAGGCCCAGCTTGGTGCGTTTGCAGCAAAGGATGGCGATGTTGGTGCTGTAGAGCAGGCGCCGCTCTCCTGTGATCTGATTGTTGTTTGCGAGGGGGGAGGAAAGGGCGGGAGAGCAGGGAGGGCAGGAGTGGCAAGCAAGACAGTCTCTGAGGCCCAGCCTGGTGTGTTTGGAGCAGAGGATGGCGATGGTGCTGTAGAGCAGGCGCCGCTCTCCTGTGATCTGGGTGTTGCGGTGTAAAGAAGGGACAGGACAGGAGGGCAGGAGGGCGGGAAGGAAGGAGGGCAGGAGGCCAGGGAGAAAAGAAGAGGTACGTCAGTCTCTCAAGCTCTTAGGCCCAGCTTGGTGCGCTTGGATCCGAGAATGGCGATGGTGCTGTAGAGCAGGCGCCATTCGCCTGTGATCTGGAAGGAAGGGCTGGAGGGAAGAGAGAAGTGGGGGGAAGTGGGGGTTGGGACAGACAGAGGCAACAGCTTGGTGCGCTTGGAGCCGAGAATGGCGATGGTGCTGTAGAGCAGGCGCCATTCGCCGGGGTGGTAATGTTGACCTCGTTGCATACAGCCGAGTATGGCAATGGTGCTGTATAGCAGCCGCCACTCGCCTGTCATCTGGGTGTGAACGGGAGTGTGGTTGTTGGGGTGGGGGGGGGGAAGAGGAAGTGGGATTGGGGTTGGGGGCCGAGTTGCTTGGAGCCGAGGATGGAGATGGTGCTGTGGAGGAGACGCCACTCGCTTGTGATCTAGGAGCATATACGTGGGAATGGGGGCATAGGATGTGTGTGGGAGAGTGGAATAGAGACTATGTTGCTTGGAAGGAACCGAGGATGGCGATGGTGCTGTAGAGCAGCAGCCACTCTCCTGGGATCTAGTTCTTGGGGGGAAAAGAGGGAAAAGCAAAAGGGGGGCGGGGTGGACTGTGCGTGGCTGCTGGTGACAGCCCAGGATGGGTAGGCAAGGGTAAGTAGGGGTAAATATGGGTTAAGTATGGTGGCGTATAAGTGAGTTCCAGAGTCAAGAGGGGAGAAGAGTTGGCTCAAAAGTGAAGGTACCACACACACGTGACACGCACAAGTATGCTCTTTCAAACTCTCTCACCTCATCTATGTGCTCGGTGGGAGCAGGTCGCGGGTTCAATTCCTCCAGGCGCTCAATTATCGCGTGCAAATAAGCTCCCATGATTGTCGCCCTGGCACCTGTGTTCTCTCACCTCATCTATGTGCTCCGTGGGAGCAGGTCGCGGGTTCAATTCCTCCAGGCGCTCGATAATTGCGTGCAGATAAGCCCGCTTGGCCGATGGCATGCCAAATATACCCCGGTTGAGGCCTGGGGGAATGACGGGAGGCGGGTGGGGGGGGGGGGGGGGGGCGGCGAAGGGGAGGGGAAGGGGAAGGGAAAGGGGGATGGGAAGGGGAAGGGCTTGATGGCATGCCTAAGATGCCCCGGCTGAGGCTTGGGTGGGGAGAATAGGGGGGAAAGGGGCAGGGGAAGGTAAAGTCGCGGGTTCAAATACCCCAATCGCTCGATCATCGATGCTGCAGGGTGTTTTTGAGAATTCTCAAAAACACCCTGCAGCATCATAGGGAGGAAAGGGGCAGGGGAAGGGGAGGTCGCGGGTTCAATCAAATACCCCAATCGCTCGATCATCGATGATAGCGTGCAAATAAGCCCGCTTGGCCAATGGCATGCCAAAAATGCCCCAGTTGAGGCCTGGGTGGGGAGAGGAGGGGAGGAATGGGCGGGGGAAGGGGAGAGTGGAACCCTAAACCGGAGGGCGGGGAAAGGGATGGGATGGAGGGAGGGGCGAGGGAAGGTAAAGCGGAAGATTGAGGGATATGAAGGGAGATTGAGGAGTATGGAGGGAGTTTGAGGGGTATGAGGGGAACACTGAGGGGTATGGGGGGGACATTGAGGGATATGGGGGGGAAATGAGGGGTGTGGGGGGGAAATGTGGGGTGTCGGGGGGAAATGAGGGGTGTGGGGGGGACATGAAGCACAAAGTTACACCTCCCTGACATTTAACCCAGGAATTAAACACTTGGTTACCGTCAGAATCAAACCAGCCGCTTCTCATATAAATCCCTGTTAAGAAATTAATGATATTAGTAAGGCTTAATACAATTTCCACCTTCTAAACCGGAGTAAAGCGCGGCCTTTAGCGACGGAGCGTCGCTAGGCAGAGAATGCGCCTCGGTAGCAGCAGCAGCAGCAACCTCGGTAGCAGCAGCCTCGACATTGTCCCCTGAAGACGCGGCGGTGGAAACGCGACCTCGTGCAGGCGACGCGTGACTGACCCAGCATCGATTGTGCCGCAGCTCGGGGTTGAACTCGTGACGCGCAGAGTCACGTAGGCTGGCTCGTCTGGGGTATGCTGAAGCAGCTCTAACTTGCCGAGCCTGCCCGCCTGCTACCCGAACCTGCGTGTCTAACCGAGCCTGATTGGCTACCCGAGCCTCTCGTCCTACCCACTGGGTACTGTGGGGAATAGAAACGCTAACGGGAGAGCTGACCCGGAGTGCCATTGTGTGATGGCTTGACGTGACGGTGTCTGATGAAGCGGACAGCTGAAGCTGAAAAAAACAAACTAAGAATATATCAATAAACATTTTGACTCTGACGACATGTCTGGATGGTGTAGTCGGTTATCACGCCAGTCTCACACACTGGAGGTCTCCGGTTCGATTCCGGGTTCAGACAGTATTTTTAATTGGCACCTCTGTTTTTTTGCACTTCTTCCTGGAGCTCAGGAAAATATCGCAGGATCGTCTGCATATATCGATCCCCACAATCGAGTGGGCAGATCGTTTGGCAAAACGTGGCGACCGCGACGTTGTCACGATCGCGGCTGAAAATTGACAGATTTCCCGCGAGCTGTGATCAGTCGCATTCTCACACTGTACAGAAATTTTGGCCAGAAAGTGTACTGTAGCATGGCTACAACAAAGCTAGTAGGGTAACCGATTTGTACATCGATCGCTACTGACGATCTATCGTCTACTTTGACCGCGTCCTCATCTCCTGTGAATAATGCATTCTTCCGGCAGACACCCTGGCAGGCTGAGCCTCCCCCGGACCAAGTCCTACGTAAAGTAAATCTAAGGGCGCTTCACCTGTCGGTTCGAACAACACACTCGTTCGAACAAGCGAAACGTTACTCGTTTCGCCTATGTTCGTAGTGGTGATCGTGACGTCGCGAAGCACAATTTCGCCAATTTGAACAGAGCTGTCACCTCAAGCACGATTTTCATCATCCCGCACGTTCGAACACGTTTGTTCGAACAGGTTGGGATGGGTGACACACAATTCCGCACAAACGACTGATATGATTGGTCCACAGTCTTCCGGGTCGCCCATGAACGTTTGCGACCCGGCCAGACGTTGGCTGTATTTCTAGCAATCCAGTTGGCTCCGCATTTGGTGGTCGCAGCGCTCGAGAAAACACACAAGCGAGGGACCCAATGTTTGGCGACGTCGCTCTTTTGTGGGCAACGTCGCTGTGTTCGAATAGACCGCGTGTGCGAATAGCGATGGCGTCACCTGTGATGGCCTGTGTCACATTCGCTCATTGTACGTATTTGTGTTTGAACTCATTTGGGATACTGTTCGTACAGTCAAACTGATACGTCGGTTCGGATTTTGGCTTTCCGCCCCTCAGGTGAACCGCCCTAAGTGCGGTATATTTGACATTAAAGCAAGGGTGCACTTTGGGGAGGGTGGGGGCAAAGGTTTATCACTTGCCTCCACGTGGTTACCCGGTTTGTGGCTGTGGGTGAGACGCGAACGATGTTTCGGTGTTGGCGGAGTTGCGGTGGTAGTCTCGCTCCCGTCAGTAGCGACGGGGGGAATTGGAGTTGGGAACTTGAGGTTGGGACAGGCAGTTAGTGAACCAAAACGGCAGCGACTCTCGTTCCACAACACACATACTCCAAGCAACGAAGTAGTTAGCAACTACAGCCCACAGCGCACCGCCACCCACAGAGCATGGATTTTTGGACGATAAAGTAAATTCCAATTCCGTAGATTCATTCTAAAGGTGGAGTTTACTTTAGTCCGTTACATCGTCCCCAATGGCGACGTCTATCTCTCCACACGGGTCGTTGTCGCTCGCTCACTGGCGCGGCGCTTCCTGCCTGTCGCGACCCGTCGTTTTCTTGTCCAAGCGATCGCTAGCCGTCCGATGCCGCTGCTAATCGCAGCAAAACGTATCATCGCGACTCACGGTTCCGGCATCTAGGCGGCCCGTGCGGCCAGTAGCGGCGGCGGCGGAGGGGATGGATGGGGAGGCGCAGCTGTCGGCGGAGGAGGCGCATGTCCTGAGTAGGCGTACAGGACATTCTTAAGGTGGTTCACGCTTGCCTAAGGCTCTCGCAACATTCGTAAAATTTCGCGACATTCAGGACTCTAGTGACATCGCACGCTTCGCTCACCTCCCTACTGTCCGCGTTTGCCCCCACCCCTCCCATTCCCCCCCCCCCCCCCCCCCCCGCTTACTCTGCCGCCCACCAATCTCCGCGCGCCTGCCGCGTGCAGATATGCCTGGTGGTGATGATCGAGGACCCGCACGAGGCGGAGCGGCGGCGGCAGATGGGAAATGAAAGCGGGTGCTCCTGTGACGAGATCGCCGATGCATTCCGCGAGGTAAAAAGGGGAGGGGAAGAAGGAGAGCTAGCCGTAGCGTGCGAAGAGGGTGGAGGAGAGGTGGGGACGGGGAGAGGGTGGAGAGAAATGAGGGGGCGGAGGTTGGTTGGTGAGGAATGTGTGAAGGGGATGCTCGTCAAAGTCGCAAGCTGCAGCGCCGTGCTCCACCTCTCCTGCTCCCGTCCGTCCTTGGGCGCGCAGGTGTGCACATCGTGCGTCGAGCCCCACCCTTAGCCCTTTTTGCCCTCCCCAACCTTTCCCCCTCTGCCCCACCCCTCCCTTTCCCCTCTCCCCTCCCTGTCGCAAGTACAGCATGCTGCGGCGCAAGCTAGTTTAGGGACATCTCGATAACCCCGTCCTCCCCCCTCACTGCCCTCCCCGCCCTTTCCCCTCACTGCCCTCCCCGCCCTTTCCCCTCACTGCCCTCCCCGTCCTCCCCCCTCACTGCCCCCCCCGCTCTTTCCCCTCACTCTCCTCCCCGCCCTTCCCCCTCACTGCCCTCCCCGCCCTTCCCCCTCACTGCCCTCCCCGCCCTTCCCCTTCGCTTCCCTCCCCGCCCTTTCTTCTCACTGCCCTCCCCACCCTTTCCCCTCGTCTCCATGCCCGTTCCCCTCTGTGTCCCCCTTCCCCACCCCCTACGTGTTCGAGGACCCGCAGACCGCTTGGTGCTTGTTTTGCGACAACTAAGAACATTTCCCTTTTTGCCCTCTCACCGTGCCCTTTCGACCCCCCTCTCTCCCCCACCTTCCCATCCACCCCTCTCCCCCACCCTTCTCGCCGTACCCCTCTCCCCCACCCTTCTCGCCCTACCCCTCTCCCCCACCCTTCTCTCCCCCCTCGGCCAGCCCCTGCCAGGATACAGTGAGTGTCAAATGCTGTAGCCTGTAGTGAGGTTTGTCTTAGGGGGTACAGAAGTTAGGGTTTGTCATATGTACCCCAACCAACATCAATGCAACATCCATTCCTCATTTTGACATGGTATCAGCTAGGTTAGGATCCTGTGGGATCCCGTTCCTCCGTTCTCCGTTCGTACCTCCCGAGCCTGATCCTACCTCTCGTTCGTACCAGTTTAGTTGTTACCGCGCCTAGTACCGAGCCTAGCATCATCTCCCCCGTCGCGTCGCGCCCGTTCCCCCCGTCGCGTCGCGCCCGTTCCCCCCGTCGCGTCGCGCCCGTTCCCCCCGTCGCGTCGCGCCTGTTCCCCCCGTCGCGTCGCGCCCGCCTGTTCCCCCCCTGTCCCGTCGCGTCGCCCTGCCCTGTCCCGTCGCCCTGTCCCGTCGCGTCGCCCTGTCCCGTACCGTCGCCCTGTCCCGTCGCGTCGCCCTGTCCCGTACCGTCGCCCTGTCCCGTCGCGTCGCCCTGTCCCGTCCCGTCGCGTCGCCCTGTCCCGTCCTGTCCCGTCCCGTCGCCCTGTCCCGTCGCGTCGCCCTACCCCGTCGCGTCGCCCTGCCCTGTCCCGTCGCCCTGCTCCGTCGCGCCGCCCTGCCCCGTCGCGTCGCCCTGTCCCGTCGCGTCGCCCTCCCCGTCGCGTCGCTCCCGCCCTTTCCCCCGTCGCGTCGCCCTCCCTAGGCCCTAGCCCGTCGCCCTCCCTAGGCCCTGGCCCGTCGCCCTACCCTAGGCCCTGGCCCGTTGCCCTACCCTACGTTTTGGCCCGTCGCCCTAGCC